CAGTAGGAATCAACAAACTGAGTCTCGTAGTACTGCTTCTTCTCCTGAGTGGTAGTGTTGAACCATACGTTGTGGATTACTCCGTGATTCTCGACATAGCGTCCTTATGAAAGAAAAAGAAAAAACAGGTAAAGAAACTAGTACATATAAAGGCAACCTTATATAATGTAGAAGATGCATGGACTGCTTACTAAGCTGACTAAATTGCATGAATTTGAAGAATATAATATGTATAGGTATGTTTTCATTAGTGTTGTTCACTTAAATGTAGGGATTGTTGCATTATCGTTGACTTAGAATGAGACGTTTTTATCTACAGACACTGCAAGTTGACTTCCATGGAGTCCGCCATGTTGAAGTGCCATTTTTCTACAGTAGCCCAGAACGAACAAACCAAACCGGTAGATAGGGCGGTTCGCATTTTTCGCGGCCACTGTAGTTTCGCAGTCGTTTGGAAACGTAGTGTGAAGCTAGGGAGTTTCAATCTGCTACTATACCACTAGATGCCACTAAATCCTACACACTGGTCATTACCTGACAAAAAAATCCTGTCTGGAATGACTGGAATAACAAGTTAGTGTTGCATGGCTTGGTCCGATCCACTTGTGTACCGTGAGATATTTGCTAAATTTGTAAAACATGTGTTAGACAAGAATCACATTAGCTAGAATTGCTTACCCAACCATTACGATAACATTTTACATGTTATAATTGTTTGGCAGTGAACAGACTAGCAATACAGAGTGAGAATACAGAATGTATGCATGAAATAAGATATTATGCATATACCTAACTCACGATTTAAAAATGTGTGGCAGATAGGAACGAGAACTGACATAAAATGTACAGAGCTAAACTATTGTTTTTACCTGTCAGCATTGTGAAGTGAGAAGGGCTGGTAATAGTGAGGAAGGGTGGCGTAACATAGACTGCCTTTACCCCATCCTGGGCCATCTTATCCAGGTTAGGTGTTTCAACATCTCGGTCATAGTCCCAGCGGAAGCCATCGAAGGAGATGAGCAGTAGCTTGTTTTTGGTGGACGCGGTGAAAAGTGAGTGCAGCTCAGAAACAGAGTTCCAGGGTGGGGCAGCAGCACAGAGAGAGCTGGCAGTGAGGCAGATGACGGCAAGGCAGAGCAGCAGCATGACTGAGGATTTAGACCTTGTTGTGACTTAAAATCCACTCTCCACTTTATTTAGACTTTTTAGAGCTGTGTTGGCTGCATTTCCAATTTAATCATTTATTTCTTGCCACTACAACCTGCAATGTCCTAAAATCAGATCTTATTTTTCCTCTCCTCTAACTGCAGTTGTATGATGAACCTTTCCCTGTGGCAAGTATGAGACTGTATTGTGCAGTTTAAGAGGATACACCCCTAATTAATGATTGTTTGGGCTATTGGTCAGCCCTCATGTAGCCATAAACATAAGACAGGTTTTATATATTTATTAGTGTAATGTAGTAATGTGATAGGGAGTGTGTGTTTGTGTGTGTGTGTGTGTGTGTGTGTGTGTGTGAAATAGATATAGAGATTGCTGAGAATGATTTTCAACCCTTTGAGCCTGGTTGGTTGTATTATGACTTTTTAACATAAAACAGAGGTTACTTTAATAATACAATTAAACAATACATCTAAATCCTAAAGAGCCCCTCCATATATGTATTAAGACATATAAACAAATAGTCAGCTTGGAACAATAATGTATGTCTGATATGTTTTTCTGGAAAAAAAAAAAAAGTCAAGTATAATTTCCACATTAAAACCTTTAAAAAAGCATCTGCTTCTACCTCATAAAAAAATTCCAGAATCTGTGAATATGCAACTTTTCCTGCTGGACATAAGATGTCTCCTCCTTTACTGTAA